AGTGTCCGCGCAGCAGTTGCATATTGCAAGATTGCGATTTAGGCTAAGCAGTCAGCTGGCTACTGTGGCCTAAGGTCATGGATAGCATGGGCTTCAGCTAATAAGCTTATCAACCTTGAGAAGGAGAAGGCGAACAGAAAGCGCAACCCTGAAGATGTGCTCAAAAAAGCGCATGCAGAAGTCGCTACCTTGACATATGGTGCGTTTAAAAATCGCTTTTCAAAAGCAGGAAAATTGGAAAATTTGGGAGCATTTATGGCCATGCTTCCCTTCGATGGACAACTGGACGACGGTATAGCACTTCGGGATTACCAAAGGGTTGGGCAAGACGAGATGGAACAGTTAAAGGAGCAGTCAGCGAGGGGCATTGGTTCACAATTGGCAAAGGTGGCGGACGAATTTCTGACAGCTTTGCGGGAAGGCAAGGCGTACCCCAGAAGGGCTTGGAAAGATGCCGCTGAAACAGAACTGGTGAAATCAACTCTGCAGCACCAAGTGGAGCTGCTTTAGCGCGTGTAAAGCTCAGAGTGGCGGCCGCACGGACAGCAGCGGCAGGATGAAGAAAGGAAAAAGATTGCAACAGTTTTGGTTACTTTTTTTTCGAAGGCGTTGAGGCTGGCGCAGAATGACAATTCAATCTCATTCTAATTGGTTGTGTAATTAGTCAGCACGTCAGCCTGGGCTGACGTGCTGACTAATCGATGCTTGGTGGCATTTATCGGTCGATGCTTTGCTCACCTCGAGGTCAGACCTGGCCGATTTTGGAGGCCCAACGACCCGTGTTCCGGCAGGCGGTACCAGCACCCCGCCGCCCTGGCACCCCGCTAGGAGACACAGCTCGGTCAAGGCGGCTCATGACAGCGGCCAACCCCTGGAGCGACGCACGCTACGGCGCACGCGGATTTAAAAAGTACTGTGCAGCAGCTGGGTTGGCTTCCACCCCTGCTTTGCGGCGTGTGGGGAGGTTAGGGCCTGATCGTAAATTAACCACGCTCCTAAATTAACCATGGTTAGCCCCCCTTCGTGGTTATCTCCGCCAAGATGAGGCCCCTGTCACCGCGCTTTGCTCGATTGAGCATCAAAAAATTGATTTTATCGGCCAAATTGGCCGATAACTATGAGCCACGGAGTTGTGCAAGGTGACAAGGATCTCACTCATGTACCTGCCGGCCCACCGCTTCGCTAAACTCCGGGCTAGCCGGATCTAGGCAAAGAAGCGAGGAAATCGAGCTTCTAGTTTGTCCTAACTCGCATTTTCCAAATCAGCGGGCGACGGCTGATTTGGCCGTAGTTACGGCCTTCGTGGTTATCTCGGGTGTGGAGTTGTGGACGCACGCGCAGCACCGCCTTCTTGTTGTAGTGCATATCTTTAGATCCCATACATTTCAGCATGGCCTCGCTGGCCGGCGCGGCCCTTTTAAGTGATAACGAGTTGATTTTTGTTATTTTTGGTGCCTGTTTTGCCGCTGGCGCATTAACAGATCAACACAACGATAACGGTATCGAGGACAGGCGTGCCAGGCCTCGGAAGCCTCGCGTTCACCCCGGCGGCCGTGCTATTAGCAGAGGAGTCGTGTTAGCGCTCGCCAACGGATCAAATACCCAGTTTGAAGAGCAGTTGAGGTTGACCAAGGAAGAGTTTACCTATTTGGTATCGTGGCTTAAGGAAAACACGGATCTGAAGGCGACAACGTGGTGGTCCGTAGAGGTTAAGGTGGTGATCTTCTTGTATCTCTGTGCCCAAGGCGCCTCCCAAAGAGCCGCCTCGCACCATTTCCACCTCCCCCAAAGCCAGATCTCGTCGGTGGTGGGTGAAGTGCTCGAGGCAATGCAGCTGTTCCATAAGGCTATCGTCCGTTTGCCGCCCGAGGATTGGTTGGATCCGGCCGTGGAGCTGGACCCCAAGCTCAACGCTCTCAACGGGTGCATCGGGGCGATCGACGGCACGCACCTGGCAGCGTTTATCCCGGCCTCGAGGCAACGGCCGTGGTTTGATCGGCAAGGGAACGTCAGCCAGAACGTGTTTGCCGCCGTGCGCTCCAATCTGGAGTTCAGTTACGTGCTGGCAGGCGCAGAGGGATCCATGAACGACAAGTCGCTTGCCGCTCAAGCCTTTACGAGAGGGTTTAACGTACCTAGAGACCGCTACTACCTCGGCGATCTTGGGTTTACCCAGCGGCAGGGCGTCGTGGTGCCCTTCCCAGGGCTTCTGTATCATCTGCCAGAGCGCCGGGCGGCTGGGAGGATACCGGAATCAAAAAAAGAGCTGTATAATATGCGGCACGCTTCGCACCGGGTTATCGTCGAGCAGGCGTTTGGGCTTCTCAAGAGGGTCTGGAAGGTCGTTAGAAAGCTCGCTCCGGAGTACTCGTTTGAGAAACAGGTGCAGTTTATTTACGCAACAACG